CGGGTTCAATCCCCGTAGGACTCTCTTTTTTTGCTCTTTTTTTCATGCACATGCGATGTCGTCTTGAAAAGGCAATGGAGCGCGTACATCGAGATCAGGGAGTGACGGAGCGATGACGAGCAGCTCGGGTCGAGGGAGGGTGGAGGTGGGAGAGGAGGGCGAAGCGAGGTTCTTGGCGCTGCGAGGCGAAGTGGCGAGCGGAGGGATCGAATTGTTCTGCCAGACCAAACGATGATGCCGGCGTTGATTTGGCTGCAGCGCCGGCGGGCCCAGACGTAGGCAAAGATGCGTGTGGGGAGCATGTACATTTGCAAATTCAGAAAGCGTGGGGGGAATCTGCGGGGATGGTCGGGAAGCCCATCAGCACCGGATGTATGCGCGCCGCACCCCACCCCGAATGGGATGAGGCCTAGCGGGGGTGTCCGAACATGTCCGAGCGGGGAGCATGGAGGGGGGAAAAACAGTGGCAGCTCGGAATCATCCGAAAGCTCAACCTCGCTTGCTGCGATGCATACGCACTGGTGAGGAGGAGTAGGCAATTGACGCGGAGAAGCGGGGAAGCGGTGCTCGAAAAGATGCCGCAGGGCAAGTCGGCCATTTCAAGCGTTTTCTCCTACTGCCTCCTCGAGGCTCTTTTTTTTCTTTCTTTTTCTTTTCAGAGTCAGCCGCCGCCGCGGAGGATTGCGGCACCGTCGGCAAGGCTGCCGTGTGGGCGACAATGGTCCCCGCAGATGCGCGCGGCAGGACGATCGCGAAAAGGATTCGCCCACGCGAGATGGCCTCCAACCAATCAGGTCCCGTTCATTGTGTGGGAGCATGCACCTCGCTGCGCTCTCGGTCGCCTCCGTCTGTGACTGCATGCCATTCTGGTGACTCCGCGTGGTTGGGTGGCGGAAATACCCCGGTGTATCTTTGCCAGACGAGAAGCGGCGCCGTGATTGGCCGATGGCAAAGCATGGGGAGGCTGCAACCGGTGACTGTGCCTCTGGCGTCGGAGAGATCCTAGGTCCATCCGAATCACACCTGCCGCATCCCATGCAGAGTTCCCAACGGATGAGGCGCAGCGGCTGATCCGAAGCCTGCAAAAAAAGTCACACGCGCTAGCTTGGGTTAACGCCGCGCGCAGGCTCGAGTCGGCGGCACGGCATCGCAGCGGCGGTCGAGCTGCAGATGTTCAGACGTTCCTCGCCACCCCTGCACTAGCCCTGACTCAGACACGCGTGGGGATATGCCTGTCAAGAAGCAGAAAAAAATAATGCCCGTCCCCACACGCATTCTGCCAGCATTCTTTGCGAGGCTCCCGTGCAGCACTCAGTCGACCTCGCCAAAACAGCTCTCGCACTGGAGCCGAATCAATCGCCCACACTCGCTCTCAACTGCGGCGCTTCAGCCACCGCATGCGCCCCTGTTGTGCTCGATTGCGCGCTCGCTTCGACAGGCGCGCTGCCCCTCCAGTTGCCGCTTGTACGACCTACGCCCATACTCGCCCCGCGTTTTGGCTCGCTCTGCACACGAGTATAAAGCTACTCCCCTCGGTCAACTCGGTCCACCCTCGTTCCCCCGCAAACATCACCCACTCTGCAGTGTCAATCATGGTCGACCCTACCCACGGCCTCTTCAGACTGCCCTCCAAGGAGGAGCGCAGAATCGCTCGCAATGGCGCGCCGCTCAACCCTTTCAAGCTCGCCGCCATGCTCACCCCCCTCCAGGGCGCCATGTTCTTCTCCGGCTGGCTCGCCTGGACTGTTGATGCTTGGGACTTCTTCGCCGTCTCTCTTTCCGTCACCGCCCTGGAGAAGCAATTTCAGAGAGAGCCGCACGCCATCACAACCGCCATCACCCTCACTCTGCTATTCCGCTCCGTCGGCGCCGCCATCTTTGGGTAAGTCGCTCTTCCTCCTCTTGCCTGGCACTTGTCTCCTCTCCCAACACAGCTGCAGTCGTGTCTGACTATCACCTCCACATTCATTTTCACGCGTCCACAGCATCATCTCCGACCGATACGGCCGTAAATACCCGCTCGTCGTCAACCTCCTCATCATTGCTGCGCTCTCGCTGGGCTCAGGCTTCATCCAGACCTACACACAGTTCCTCGCCGTCCGATCATTGTTTGGGATCGGGATGGGGGGAATCTGGGGGATGGCGACAGCCACGGCGCTAGAGAACATGCCTCCCGAGCCCAGAGGTCTTTTCTCGGGCATTCTGCAGCAGGGTTATGCCGTGGGATACCTTTTGGCGGCATCGGTCAACCTCACCTGGGTGCACAGGACGGGCAACTGGCGCATCCTCTTCTTCCTCGGCTCTGGTATCTCCGCGTTCGCCGCGCTCGTTCGTCTGCTGCTTCCCGAGTCAGAGCTCTTCCTCAGGCAGAAGGCGCAGCGCGATGCGTCGGGGTCCACGGGCGAGAGTAAGGCAAAGGTGTTCATGCGCGAGCTCAGGGAGATGCTCAAGACCCACTGGTTGCGATGCATTTATGGTATCTTGCTCATGACCGGCTTCAACTTCCTCTCGCACTCTAGCCAGGATCTGTACCCGACCATTCTGCAGCAGTCCAAGCTGCTAACCAGCCAGCAGGCGTCCAAGGCGACCATCATTAGCAACTGCGGTGCCATCTCGGGCGGTTTCGTCGCGGGCTACTTGTCCCAGTACCTCGGTCGAAGGCTCACCATCATACTGTTTGTCATCATCACCGGCGCGCTTATCCCAGCATGGATTCTGCCAAACAGCTTTGGCGCTCTCTCGGCCGGCGCTTTCTTCCTCCAGTTCGGCGTGCAGGGTGCGTGGGGTGTGGTCCCCATCTACCTCTCCGAGATCGCACCGCCTGCGTTCCGTGCCACATACGCTGGCCTGGCCTATCAACTTGGCAATGCAGCTTCCTCGGCTTCGTCCCAGATCGAAGCTACCGGCGGCGACAACCTCAAGGAGCGCAACCCCAAATGGTTCCCAGGCGCACCTGCGACGGTCAAGGAGTTCATTCCGGCATACGCTCGCGTCTCGGCCATCCTTCTCGGTACGGTTTGCGCTTACCTGCTCATCGTCGTTGTCTTCGGCTGGGAGTTCAAGGGTGCCGAGTTCGAAAAGGCCCTTCCGGCTACCATTCCTGGTGCGGGCGATCAGGATGCGGCAGAGCTCGGCGAGAAGCGCAACACCACCGATGCCTACGACGAGGACAGCATCGAACACGTCGGCGACCAGCGCTTCCAGCACATCTCGTCCAACGAGGCCATCGACGAGAAGAAGGCTTAGCTCTTGTACTCCAGCTCCGTTGCTTGAATGTACTTGTATTTTCAGTCGTCTTGCTCGCAATTGCCCTTTGCGCGTCCGGAAGGTTTTCTTCGTGCAAATTCGTCTGCCTCTCCGAGCTCGCATGCCCAATAAGATGCCGCTTTGGAACATCTCGCTGCCACGCCCGATGGCCTGCGGCGTCAATGAGCTAGCCCATCGAGAATGAATCGCCTGAATATCTGGCAACGTATGCATCGTCGGGAGGAGGCCGATGCGTCGCCATAGATCGCGTGCATAGCGGGTCCGCCAGCAACCTGTCCAGCGTATTGAACCTTACAGGCTTGTTTCGGGCGCAACGACCAATCGTCGAGGACGCGCTGACGACCTTGCCATGCTTGGCACCGGTCGTTGAGAGTCGAAGAAGATGGCCATTTGCTCCCGCACGAAAGGAACATCGTCACATTCAATCTGAGCTGTATCCTTGCCTTTCCGGATCGATCGACGCTGTTGAAAAGCGGCCGCTGGCACGAGGTCCTGCTTCGTAATTACAGGGTCTCCTGGCTCCGATTTCGAGACGCCGGTTCTTGAACCTTCGCATACGACTTTGCGCGAAGAGGCTCAAGGGTTCCGGGGGCAGCGTTCGCTCTCAACGCTTGCTGTCGGCGCTTTGCGACACTTCACTGCCACGCGCAACGGCCTTCATGGCCATTTTGCTAGGCCATCGGAGATGAATCGCGTGGGATTTTGGCATCGCATGATGGACGCATTGTCGGCAGATGGCCGATGCACGGCAGGTGGCCGATGCGCCGTCGTGGATACGACGCACAAACCATGCAAAGCGCAAGGGCATACTAGAAAGTCGCCATGGTGCGCACCGTGTGATTGTCGAGGCTTTGCGCTCTTCGCGGTAGGCGCGCAGCTTATTGAGGTCCGCCTCCCACTGCACATGCCGAGCCTTGGTC